TGCTTGTGATGTCGACGAAGTGCTCTGGCCTGACCCAGCCCAAAGACAAGAAGAAGCACATTGATCACATGTTTACTCCTTTGATTTTTGTCCCTTTTAGTATTGTATACTGTAGTACAGTGCATTGTAGGCTGTATACTGTACATTGAACCAATTGTATGGCCCTGAACATTGTGCTTTCCATTTGTTAACAGTACTGACTGCTCAATAGATTTTGACTGGTTGCAGGTTCATAGCAACAAAGAACAAGAATTACAGTATCACAGAGACAAAGGACAAGTTTGTGAGATGCAGGGTACAGTAGGCCCTACTGTAAAAATAGGGGTACAAGGAGGAGGAAGAACAAAAAAAAATTGCGAAGAGCAAAGCAGAGTAGTAATTTCTGATCAATTTTGAGCTACTATGATAGAACATGTTTTCGTTCATCAAAAGACAATGACGGAAAAATATGAAATTTGTTTTGAGATTAAAAATGTACTTCTCTCTGAGGACTATATGTTTTGAACAATGTGTTTTCTATTTTTTGGTGTATTGTTTACTGACTGCTTGATAGTGTATATCATTTTGATCACTTTCATTATGATTTGAGAGCAGTGTTTGATTTTGAACACAGGTAAAACTGTTTTGAGGCAAAAGTTTTATTTTAGTCAGAGGTTTTTTAAATAGTGCTTGAAGATGAGGTTTTGTTTAATTTTTTCAGAAAATGGAGCAAGGTTTCAGAAATTGTGTTTTAGCAATCGAGAAAAACTGTAACAGCAATTATTATATGATGCAATCAAACTTATAGCAAAATGTGGTAGCTCAGCATGTTGTTTCAGGGTTGGCATCATCTGAGGTCCTCTGAGGGGTTGGCATCATCTCTTCTCAGGTGTTCTGGATCCAGACTGAAGCATGTGTAAATCCTAGTTACCATGGAATTTCAATCCCGTGGCAAAAACAGAGAAACAAATAGAGACATAATTAGCGTAGGTGCTGTTCCAACCAAGCAAAATGTATTTGTTTAACCCAAACTAAAGAATAATAATGTGCATTTGATCAGATATAACTGCAGTAAAATATTATGATATGCATTATTTGAATGCTTGACCAAAGAGATGTGTCTTTAATCTAGATTTAAATATATTTAATCTAGAAAATATAAATTATTCAAGTATAATCAATGTGAATATAGCTATGTATGTATTAAGTTATTCTACTATTATAATCATGTGTATTTGCCTGCGTGTATAGAAATCTGTATGAGAATGGAATGTTCAGACATATGGTGAAGTACATGATAAGCACATGATGGTAAAATATTATGATATGCATTATTTGAATGCTTGACCAAAGAGATGTGTCTTTAATCTAGATTTAAATATATTTAATCTAGAAAATATAAATTATTCAAGTATAATCAATGTGAATATAGCTATGTATGTATTAAGTTATTCTACTATTATAATCATGTGTATTTGCCTGCGTGTATAGAAATCTGTATGAGAATGGAATGTTCAGACATATGGTGAAGTACATGATAAGCACATGATGGTACATAATAGGTCCCTTATTTTCACAGAACATAAAATTAAGGCCTCATGACTGCATCGTGATGATCCCATAACAAATATGAATGAAATGTATTGAACACGCCTAGAGAATGAACAGTATATAAGAGAGTACAAAAAAAGAGTCTGGAGATTGCTCTAAAGAGTTTTTCTCGGCTTTATTTCATCTGAAAAATAAAGTCTATCTTCTGGCATCAAAACCTCATGACCTCAAGAATGATTCCTTACAGCGTGTAGCGAATCAGCTCATGAGGAAATATGAATAATTAATCATAACTAGTTATAATTAATTATAAATATTTAGATCCGCTGTAGATATTTACTTGACCTCTCAGGGTCAACTGTCTGTCAATTCTAAGAACGTTAATTTCCTGGTTAA